CTAAAACTTGTTGAAGGTCACTCAGGGGTCAACATATGTCAAGGTCACAGTCATCGGAATTGGCTCCCCTATTCTAAATAATTATCTATTATTTTTATATGTATAAATGTCATACGCAAATATTAAATAAAATGTTAAATAAAATAAAGTGTTAAATAAAAATGTGAAAAATTAATATTATTTTTCTCTGTGTAAATGTCATATGTAAATATTTGTATTAAAATAATGTTTATCATTAAAGAAAATGAACGTAGTAAAGTCATAAATTATACATATTGTGATGTATTTTAAATATGTTTGAAATACATTTATATATACATGAAATTATAAAATCTCTCAATTAATATTAATAAAATTATAATATTTTAGAAAATTTTATGTTTTGATAAATGAAAGAAATTATTTCTTGTAAAGTTCTTAAACAGAAATCTTTTCGGAATAAAATTTGTTTTATATATTAATATGTTTGATACTTATTTAGATATATATTTATAATTGAAGAAATGAAATTATTTTCTGAAATCTTGTATCAAATTCTTTTTTTCCTTCTTCTTATATTGATTAAAAAGTTATGGAAAACTTCTTCGTTTATCAGAATTAATTTACTCTTTAAAATTACAAACCAAACTCTGTCGAACGAAATTACAAAGTGAAAGCTTTAATTGAAGCTTTAGACTTTTGTTATTCTGACGTAAACCTTTGAAATAGATAGAATCTAAAGGAGAAGAATATTTTTCTAAGAATTTTAAAGCATCTACCAATTAGTTACGTTTTACGTAAAATTTTTCAATGGGTTCTCTAATGAAAAAAAATGTGAATATTTCGAAGGTGATGTTGTTTCTCGAAAACGTATAAGAAAATATGAAATTGCGACTTTGATAAATCGAGGATCAAAATTATTAATAATGCAACATATGTATATCTCGCTATTTTACTTTTCTCAACTATATTCGCAAATCTGTTTTTCCTGTCTTTGTCTTCCTTTGCTTATCCCTTTCTTCTCTGTTTTCTGCCTTCGCGAAACAAATTCTTCTTGACGCTTGCCGCGGCACTTTGGAAGAGGTGTCGCGAGAGACTCTTAAATTTTCAACGAGTTATTTCGAAACTTCTTAAACAAGCCCGCGACGCACGAAAGGATAACAAAAGGATGCTAGGCCGGATGAAATATGAGCCCTGTTGTGATTGCTTTGCCGACAAAAAAGAGATTGTTAACGGGTGTACGTATTCATAGGTATCGCTTACGTAGGCTTACGTAAATGTTAAGATGCGCCCACGTGTTTTCGAGGCAGGTGACCCAGAAGCTGCCATATTCTTATAGAAGCGAGATCGCGAAGAAGGTGCGAGGCGAAGTTTGTCCGGGGCGTATTTAAACTTTTATTCAAAAACTTTTTAGTGCTCAAGTTAGAGGCTGGGTTAAAGGGTCGCTTGTTTGCAAACCAGGAAGACTGTAGAATTTAACGAGGAAAGAAAGAGAGAGATAAGAGAAGAGAGCTCTCGGAAAAGGTGAGATAGGAATGTGCATGGAAGGTACATTATCAGCCTAACCGCCGAGCAGTAGAATGCAAAATTTAGTCGGATGAAAGCAACTCAAGAATAGTCAGAGCTTAAGAGAATTAATTAAGAATGTATCGTATAATCCTTGCAAAAAGTTTAAAGTGGAAAATGTATTAATATTTATGAAAACTTCCCATATAAATGTGAATATTTAAAATTATGCACATATGAAGAAATTACATAAATAATGTTATATTTCTATTTAATGATATATTAATAGTACATTTATTAAAGCTTTTGTAATTTTTTTTATACTTTTTATTATACTACTTTGACTTAAAAAATAATGGTTTAAAAAAAAGATTTAAATTTTGAAGTATAAGTATATTTTAAGTATTTGAGATGATTTATGCAAAGTCTTATTGCGATGTAGGGATTACTTATTCTCTAAATATAAATAGATAAATTAACTTTATTTATTTACTGAATGAATCATTTCTGTAATAAAATTTTGTGAAAATAATCTTGATTATTTCAAATATTTACACAAAAAGATTTTTGAGATTTTTGTCATTAGTTTTTGTGAAGTGAAGTATTATAAAAATAAAATTTATATTACATTTAATATAGTGAATAAAAATGTTCTATTATGTAAAAACACACACCACATATGATATTATTTATACAACTGATTCACATAAATATATATAATATATATTTATAGTTTTAGCATAAATTTTTATGTGGAAAGTACAAATTTTAATACTTCCAATTACAAACTTTTTGAACAATACTATAACAAATATTCGAATAAAAATCGATCGTTCAAATAGTTTTCTAAGTGTATATCTCCTAAATTTTTTCAGACATACTCTGAAATGTATCATATCATTATATAGTAAAATATGTTATTTTTGAATGTAAGACAAATATCAAAAATATTCAAATATTTGGTACTTTTTAACTTTGCTATGTAAAATTTTCATTTGACGATTTATGTTAGAATTTCCTATAAACGCGTGCAGATCCATTTTCTAAAAACGGCAAACATTCTCGAGAGAGCTTATCTAGCTTTAATAATTATGCAAAAACGCGAGATAAGTTAATTATTTATTTATATCTATGCTGCTATCTTCTACTTTCTAATTGTAATAAAGTATATGTTAGAAATGCTCTTGTTTTCTATTTCTCCGATGATAGTTTGGTATCGACATCAAAATGAAAACGACAGCGACATGAAAATTCAATTTTACATACATAAAAACGTAAAAAGATGCTCGTAAACGCAAGTTTATATACATCTACACTGAGTAAAAAATGTAATTTAATATTTAAAAAATTTTTTCTCGATTCGTCAAGAATCAATTCGCGATACTTTGAAAATCTCTGGTTTTATATTATTTATTATTTCAGAAAAACGAATAAAATTGGTTCTTCTGTATGAGACAAAACTTGAAAATGAAATAAGCATTCTCGTATTTTTTTCTTTTTTCAAATAATCGAAGTCAGAATAATTCATATACTTTGAATTACTTCGGGACATAGTTTTCGAGATCGCATCAACAAACGACACGCGCGGGACCGTGAACGATGGTAGTTTGAATAATCTTCACGATTATGAGGAACGAAATAAGCGTCAAAGCATCTCGCTACCAAGAATGGGTCTCCATGCAGTAGAAGTATACAGGCCCCGTGGCGAATATCAACTTGAATTACACCCCGAGTTGATACGCATTGTACAGAATTATCGTGTAAGTAAAGTTTCAATCTACTGCTTGCAAAGGCTGCAACTCTCTCGGGATACACTTTCATATTTACAAAGATAAGACGCTGGCGCGTCAAGTGTAATCTTATATTGTACACAATACAATCGAATTAGACGTGGCAGACGCATTGTCTTATGGGAAGAAGCGTTTGTTAAACATTATGTGATTATGCTGTCGGGGGAATTACTTAGTAAAGTAATTACAACTAAAATAAACAACAGCCGCCTACCTTCTCTCCTAATTCATAATATCGCATCGCAATTATTTCATACTTGTTAAATAAATATCACTTTTAACAATGTTATGTAGATATTTAAGATTGCAATTGGAAAATATCAATGTTATATTTTTTATTAGATAATTTTTCCAGTGGATTTTGCTTTACAAAGCGAAGTCGAAGCAATCTTTGTAATTCTTTAAAAGTTACTTAAGAAGTAACAGTTCAAAGAGATGATTATTAAAGTTAAAAAAGTTTATTATTATGAATTAATTTTAAAAGTCTTAGGTATCTAGTATTTAAAATTTCAAATAGAATTACATGTTAAATGCTAAGCAGTTAAAATTCGAAGTAAACTCTTTATAGAGGATTGCAGGCACTTTTCACGATCTTCTTCTTCTTTTTTTTTTCCGCGGAGATTCTCTCGTGAGAAGATATTTTGTTCAATGGAACGTTCGTCGAACGCAACAAGTAGAACTTGGCTCGTTTTCAAAGAAGCTCATAGAATTCATCAAACTTGCGCCCACCACGTGCTCGCGCGCGTATGTTTTCTATCCCATCCATTATAAATTAAATTTCGCTTGTTAAGAATAACGCAGCATCAACATGGCTACGAGGCAGTGAAAAAAATAGTATATAGCAAACATAAAGCACGAATTATAAATACAGAAAGGAATTCTCAATCTTTTTATTCCTTTATCTTATTAAGTTGAAAAAAAATTGTTCGCTTGAGTTCACTTTAAGTTGTCTTTATTTTCTTCGTTGAAGAATGTATGTATTATAAAGTCAAATATAATATGTTTGATTTAAATACAAAGATTTTTCATCGTAAGAGATTAAGACAAACTATATTAGTTTAGTCAAATGAATAATTTTTCCCTCAGTGTACAAAAGAAAGTCATTAATTAGAATTTCAATTAAATATTATCGTAGTTGATTGTTTAGTTGTTTTAAATTTCAAATGCAAATTTTAATTAATATTAACATAATTGTTAGACTACATTAATAATTCGATTGTTTCTATTTATATGCTTCCGTTTTTAAATTTTTTATTTTTATCTTTAATATTATGTAAATACATATTTTTTAATGATTTAATGCTTTTTTGAAAATACAATGGTATTTAAGGAATGAACATTAAACATCTTGTATTAGTAGACACAAAAAAGAAGGATTTTTATAAGCTTCATTCGTTTTAAAGTTAGATGCTGATCTATTTATGTATTTACGTAATACTATAAGTGTCCAATATACTCGTAATATATAATTACATTACCGAATCGGTGAAATTTCCATCATTTCTCGTAATTTTGCAGCTGCGGCCTTGTATGGTGTAGAATAGTGCGCATAATTTTACATACGCGATAAAACGAAATCAACAGGAAAGCATACGGGAAGCACGGGGGGAAAAAGGAAAGAGAGGTGACGTACCGGACTGAATTATTGACGGGTGTAAAAAAAGAAGGAAGCAAACAGGAGAGTGCCTGGGTTAGATGAGAAAGGTCCTAATCTATTTTCAGGACGACCGAGCACGCCACCGCCAGCAAAAAGGCTGACCACCGTGTGGCCTTCGTCGTACAACCCATACTCTCCGAAAAGGACAGAGAGACCACCTCAGCCGAGTGAGGAGAGGGTTGAGAGGCCCGAGCAGAAGCTACGTGGTGGCGAAAGTACAGGTGAGACTTGCATTCTCTCACCAGGCCCTCCCTGCTTTCCCGTTTCTTCTTCTAGTTAGCATATTCGTCGGCTGCCCTTTTTACCTCGACCCAGTCCTGCTTACGCGGCACCAATATTCTATTCTGGCTTCGGAAACAAGACGTACATGAACAGGCGACATTCATGCGCTATTCTGCACCATGCACCCGGATATGCAGGCCGTCGCGAGAATCATAAACCGCACGTATATTCCGAGATAAATTACCTCGGCGCACAGAATTTATCAATGACTGAGATAAGATAATGAGAATAGTTGTAGTAATATTAATTTAAATACATTATAAACACGAACTGAGAGAAATGTCTGTAGAGCTGCGAGACAGAAGTATACGAGTATAACATCTACCTTTCTCATATATAAGAGATTGAAATATATATCTCTGAGTGATTGGCTAACATATGATATATCTTTGCCTTTTTTTTAAGGATACGGTTATTTCGTATGTGCATATTCGTCGTATTCATAAGGCTGAAAAAGAGATATATCTCTGTCCGACAGTATTGACTGCATTTTATGTATACTGGCGAGATATATATACAGAGGAATGTGCCAGATATATACAGAGAAATATTTTAAAAGCAAATTTATCAAACTGGATCTGAAAGTGATCGTGCTCCAAATTTTTTTTAGCATAAATTACAATAATATTTTTTTAATACGAAAAATGAAAAAAATCTTTGTATTCAGGGAATTAAGACTTTGCACAAAACGATTTTGTAATTTATGCCAAGTATTTAAAAATGTAGATACAGAAAATAATTCTATTCCACAATCAAAATAATTATGTTATACGTATAGGACGTTCAAACATGATGAGCAATATAATACTGCATAGAATTTTGGCACCTATTCTAGTATTTATAGATAGTTTGAACGTTTTGATAGTCCATCAAAATTATTTTTTGATAATAATATTTAGCTCAATTTTTAAAGATTTCATTGAAACTGTTCTTTCTGTGCAGGAATATAAGAATAGATTTGCGATATTCTCTTAACAACATGCACAACTTGTATAAACTTTCTAATTTAAAGAGAATTTACGAGCTCTAAGCAGTAATTATCGTTGTACATCTCGTTCTGCTTCTCTCAGTGCCGTGATAAGATGCAGTCGTGACAAAGCTCGAATATATGAATAGGCGCTCCGATCGTTAACGAGATAACGAGCTTTAGCGAAATGGCCCGAAAAGCCATTTCGTTCCGCCGCTATTAAATTCAGCCCGGAAGCGTAGCGTGCCAGGACGGAAACCCTTAATAAGATGTTTACTCCTTAATGACTAATGTAGGCCATCATGATTATGCTAACTAGCAGTAAATAAAGCGCCACACTTATTTCTTATAATTTATTTATTTTATTTTATTTCATTCTCTCTTTTGTGATAATGATCATCATCAAGCAAAATTGTTTATAAGGAAATCATATATAGTACGAAATCAAAATGCGCAAAAAAAGAAACTGAATTATGGCAATTCGATTTTTACGCGTATAGCTTTGAAAATGCAGAGTATACTTTCGTAAACAATTTTTTTCATTTATTCTGTTTTGCTTAATTCTTCCAGTAAATTGAAAACTTCCTGGACCGAGTTGAATTTGCATTTCATAACAAAATCGGGGAATTGTTTGTGTTAGATTCGGTAAGATTAATCGCGCTTTCAAAATAAATCGCATCAGGTTAATTTCGCGAACACGAGAAAAAAAAATGATTTCGCGCAATACGGTATTCAGCGGCACAGTAACATGTCGTCATGTGCGCAGATATATTAAGCCAAGTAACGAACGTCAATTTTCATTGAAACATTTGTTACTTTGTTATTGCGATACGGCCACGCTCGCACCATCCATAACGAAATCTGTAGGGCGTTATTATATGGCAAATGCGTGTCAACTGTGAAGTATTGCATGTGTGTCCGCCATTTGTTTTCATTCATTAGAGGTTGTTAGCGGTATAATATTTTACTACATCAAGACACGGCTAAACGCTAAATCATGAAAATCTCGACGCAAGCGTCGTCATTTTTCTAAGATTAAAACTATGTATCAAAATCACTGCAATGTGATTTTGTCTACTACATTGACTAGTTTTTATTTTTAATATATGCTCTATTACTTTACAGAAATAATTAATGAGTTCAATAACAAAATAATTTTTTAATTCTTTTATAAAGAAATTGGAAATTTTATCAATTTATTGTTTAATTGGAAAGTCACTTAGAGAACCAATACTTTTACAAAAAGGTATGAATTGTAAAATATTATTTTATATGAATATTATTTAATATATTTCTTTTCCTTCTTACTATTCTACTATTCTTTACGAACCTTTTAACATGCGATTCTATCGAAAACAGGCAATAAAAAAGTTTTACACTAATTAAAATCTTTATTTTTTACAAATACTGTCATACTAGACAAGAAAAGTAAAATGCTCTAAAGAAATTATAAAAAAATAAGTGCCAATCAAAGGATTTCATCACAATTATCTGAAAGAAGTAAATAGAAATCAAACAAATATTAAATGAAATATAAGTAAGTACATACTTTAAGTAGCTTTTTATGACATATAAAAAACGAATGTGAAAGAGTTGACACTAAGTGTTCTTGGGTATTTATATGTATATTTAAATTCTTTATTTAAAGTAAAAAATAATTAATTAAACGTTTTGATCCCACACTTTTGGGTCATTCTCAATAAGTACAAAACGATGTCGAAGACGAAATTATGACATACAGAGTAAACTAATTTTCGCAGTCAATTATAATATTAATCGAGAAAGTCCTGTTGAGATTCATAAGAAGTCTGTGTCAATATCGTCGTAACAGTTTCGTTTTTGGCATCATTTTGTATTTGTTGAGATAATCCAAAAGTATAAGTTTGAAACTTTTAATTAATTCTTGTTTATTTTGAATAAAGAATTTAAATATACACGTAAACACCTATGAATACTTGGTAACTCTAATTCGCATAATTTATTTTTTATATGTCATAATAAGCTACTTAAAGTACCTATTTATTCGTTCAATATTGGTTTGGTTTTTATTTACTTTTTTCAGATAATTGTAATGAAATCCATATTTATAATGTTCTCAAAGACTACGATCCACTTGATGCCTACAAATGCTTCGAAGCATTTTTTTGATTGGTCAATTAATGAAATTCTTTCTTCTGATTGGTTAATCAAACTGCACTTGTAGCGCCGAGTGGACCACATTCATATACTAATAAATCGAAAAACAATATCAATAATATATGTACAAAGTTGTTAATAATAGTGATTTTAATTGGAATGTAAAATCCTAGATTGTTGTTTATATAACAAAAAATCACAACATTATAAAGTTACAATTTATGTTTCAGTTTGAAACTGTATTGCCATACATGAAAGTACAATATTAGAAATAAAACAGTTTAATCTTACATAACTCATGCTTTACATAGAAGTCACAAGTCACGTTGAATCGAAACGTGTTAGAATGATTGACTAACATATGAAATAAATTGTAGAGGAGTTTAAAAAAATGAAGTATGACAAATAGTCGATAATTCATATTTACATAAAGAACATGCTATTAATATAAAAAGCAGTCTCTTATAATAGAAACTCTTAAAATATATTTATTTCTATATTAATTATTTCATTATAATTATTTTACGAATCTTATATTGTAATAATGGAACTCGCTATAAAAAAAATTATAAAACTGCTATAAAAGATGTTATAAAAACTATACTTTATTAAGAATCAACTAATATCTACTATATGGAAGAAAAGATTTTGTTAGTGTTTAATGATTTAGTTAGATACAGACGGAAAATAATTCTGTTGGACCATCAAAATAATTATGTCAGAAACTCAAGCATGGCGAGCAATTTTTAGCAAAAAATGTTTATAATATTTTAGTAAAGCTTTCTTTGACCTGAACGTCCTACATAATTATTTTAATAGCCCAACAAAATTATTTTCAAATCTGTATATAATTAAATTTTTTATTAATGTAGTATATAAGATTAAGGACTGTAAGAACTGTGATGCGTCATATGTTGGACAAGCAGATGTGCCTTAAAATGTGCATAAGTAAACATAGGAATCATATTAACAGAAACACGATCCAACATTCGGTTATCACACAACATCGTATTTCATGAATTTGATTGGGATAACGTATATATTTTAGACAAAGAGCAAATTTTACATAAAAGATTGTTCTCAGAGATGATACATATTAAAAAACAAAAACTAGGCTTGAATCTACAAAACGATACACTTTCTCTCGATCCGTTATATATAGATCTATTTTCAAAGATGTAATGCTTCCAGTCTATATCGTTTGTTTAATAACTCTTAATTTTGTTTCATGTAAGTAAAGTTTGACATTAACTATTATTAACTTTTTATTTCATTCATAATTGTATTAGTAAATGGGACAGTCTAATCAAACATGTACAACAAACCTTATAGAAACAGTTCAATCTTGACAGTCATGTAAGTTTATTTTACCATATTTTTTGCGGATAACTTCATGTCATCAATTTAAAATATTTTTCAACTTCTTTTGATCATCGATTCAAGACAAAAAAATCTCTTTTCTTTTTTAGTAAACTTAGTAATTTGATGACCAAGATTAACTCGAATATCACTACCACAGTTTTTTCGTATTTTATACGTAAATAGTTTATGCGCTATCATTATTTTGTAATTAATAGTTTAAGTAAATTTCTATGTAAATTTCTTATTGAAGAGGATCTTGACCGTAAATTGAAACATATACGTTTTAATATTCACTTTGAAATGGATAAATAGTATAAAATACACACAAATAATCAAATTGTTGACTCAAATTGGCATTTTATTTATTTTTTAGATTTTTCTTTAGAGCATATTGATTATCTTGTTTTTAAAAATACTGTTTTTATAAATACTGTATTATAAGAAACACCATATGAAAATCCTTATCTTACAAGAGCATAAATATAGAGACTTGATGCAGAGTCAAAGTGCACACTCGTCGATGTGCGTGATGCATTCGAAAGAAGAAAGCTGGCGATAAAAACGCCACGCGCGCCGCTGTGGTTTCGCACCGAAGCGACGAAGTTCAACTTATTCATGCGCCGCTTTTGTACAACGCATTAAAGATGCAACAATGACCTGTATTTCTTACACGATAACGCCCACACTCTCGCAGCCGGTGGTCCGCACCGTATTTCACTACGTTTTTCCACGGCTCGCCGTTGTTGCCATCGCGTCTCCCTCGTGAATATTTAATCTAATAAAATAGTGAAATAAGTCTGCATGCCAGAAACATCGCGAAACACGTGCGCCAGTTTCCTTACGACCAGCTGCAGCTGCAACTGCGGTATCATCCTGCGCTGTAGTGTACGTACCAGCATTATTCCGTATCGGAGTTTTATACGAAAATCTCCATTCCGCTGACTGATTTCCGCAGATGCTTGTGTGGATCTTGCGTGGATTTATTAATAATGTAATTCAAATGAATCGATTTTTAATACTAATTTGTGGCGCACAATTAATTAATATTTGATATTACTTGTACAGGAAATAATGCCAATTTATATTACAGTAAAACACTCTCTCCGAGAGAGAAAGAGAGAGAGAAATAATAATACTATACATAATAATACTATATTTTAGCATTTCGAAGTTCAGGGTAAAGGTATCATAGTACATAATTAAATTCTATTGAAAATTTTATTTCCGTATTTATCACAGCAATTATACGAATGTCACGTGAAACATGCATTCATATATGTATAAATGTAATTTTAAATTTATTTGATATAATAAACATATTATAAATAAATTTTAATAAATTTTTACATAAAATATGAGCATAATAAATAACTTTTAAACAAATTCTATGTAATATATAAAAATATTGTATAATACTTCTTTTATCACTATATTTCTATTTAGAGCTTTTTTTTTATATTTTGGTATAATATAATCTATAATAAT